GAGGTATAGGCACCTCAGAATGATTGTGTTAAGCTAGCACTAAGTCCCTCCCCCGTCCACCTTTACTCTTTTCTTTACAATAAGGCTTTCAAATAAATCATGGTTGTACGGCAGTGAAGCATCGGTGTTGAACACTGATGTCATGCTGTCGATGATGATCGTGATCCACCGATACGTCTAATTATGATGGGTCCCTCTTCGAGGAAGATTTCTTATCAAAAGTTGAAATCTGGAGGTTAATTTCTCGTCAGATATCTCGCTCTCTGTGCTCCTGGAAATTTGTCTCGAAATCGTTGAAAAACTTGGTCCATTGGCATTATCGGCGGATTTCAAAATTCACCTCATTCCTTACTCATTTTGGGGCATCAGTCATGAGCGTGTGTAACAATGGCCAATGGAAGGTATTTCTGATGCCTTTTCAGCATACGGAAGCTGTCTAGCCATCCACAACCTTTTTGCTGAACTCGTGTTCTTTCTCTCCATGCGGTTGCTGAGTTTAGTGAGCTGGTAAAACTATCGACCAAGTGAGACAGACACAGTGCCCATTCGCCAATCAACTGTGGCTTATCACTTATTTAAGGTCGCCTTGCTGCGTTTTTGGCAACAACCATTTGGTAGCCGTGAAACACAAAACAGACTGTTGATTGGCATCTATGATTGTGCAGCTGCTTGAGGATTCAGAATTGAATGCTACTGATTTAGTTGTAGAAGCGCATGAGGCGAATCGCTTGATTTCAGACTGCAACTGGGGCATTCATCGATTTAGACAGACTTTCAACTGTTTGCCAAATTCACTATAATCCCTGCGGAGGTCGATGAGCGATTTTGGTAGGAAACAGTATGAACATGTGTCTGACAAATGGGATTTTACTTTGGTGTCTGTTCGGAGGATCGGCGCCACTCTGTTCCTGTGTGGGCAGCTAGAGTTATTCTGTCCGACTTTGCCGTACCTGAACAGGCAGAATCGAGTGAACTAAGCCCATCCTTGAGTTATCGTAATTCACCCACAGGGGTGTTTATTCTGTGGTTGGGCACAACCAGTGTAGGGAGTTGGAAGCTAGAAAAAGCGCACCATCTTCAATTTGAGCCGGACGTATCTTGGAGCATTTCCAGGAGTATGAATCTGTTTACCTCTCATATCAGACGGGCTGGTACGGCAGTTTGTTTAAATAAGCGATGGTGTAGAGCTGTGTGAGAAGTCTATTCCTCTGTATGTGTGTTTCTCCGTGATTGGACACATTGTTTCCAAAAAGCAGAAGGGTTGTGTCAGTCCAGATTTCGGTAGTTGATTGGAACCTGAAATTTGTGGTCAATTATTGGAGGGAATTCACGGTTGAAGTGTTGGATAAGTTCAATGTCCGCCATGAATAGAGTCTTAGATATGCGAAAACAAACCCCATGGAACTTAAATTCCGTGGGTTGGATTGTTTGTTAAATCAGAAGGTTAAGTTGTAAATCGTTTATCACATTAGATGAAATGTTGTTGGGTTTGTCTTATGCTATGCTTGATTGAACTTGGACTAACTTGGTTTGAACTAACAGTCTTATCGATCAGTTGTTTCGTTCGTCTTATGATGGATCGATGCCTGGTCAACTTCTGGTCTTGATTTTTCCTAGCTCCTCTTCGTGAACTTTCCTGGAATGAGTTCCCGGCTCATTTCTGTGCACCGATCGGATAGTGAGTTCCATTCTGACTGAGTTGTTTTTGCTCAAAGCTTCTTTAGGTCCTGTTCGAAGTTTTTTGTGTGTGGAATACAACATTTTCAACATCCACCCTCCGAGTTTCTCCATGGTTTCACATCCGAACCGGAAACAGCAGGCATCTTGTAAACACATCAGCTGGGTCCACAGCATAGTACGTAAAGAGATGACGTCTAATATCTTCCGGGTGCCAGTCGGTCATCCCCGCTCATGACATACGCTCAACTAGATGCGACCTGAAGATAACTTCAACCGACTTGTGTCTTTAACACCATAAGAATATCTTGTGGTGGAACATGTGCAGCCGCATTGTCCAGCGGAGGAATCAGCCAAATGGCTCAGTTCTCAGAGCGTGAGTTTACTGGCCGGAACGCCCATGGTTCGAACCTAACCTCTGCATCTCGACTGCTCCTGGACAACCTGGCCTCAGCCCTCGTGCCTCATTCGGGTGGCGTGGAGTCTAGGTACCGAAAGGGTGGTACAGCTGAACGAATTCGTCATACGAATACTAATAATGCCCATAGGCCGCTGCGTGATGTCATCAATCTGGTCCTCCTATTTGTTGGACCACAGGGTGGGTAAACGAAAACAGCATCCAGCGTGATGCTTGGATGCGTTCATCGCATTGGTTTTGCAGGGCGTTGGCATTTTCTTAGAAGATAAAGTCATTTGCAAAAAGTATCCACCATATATTAGGGTCTTTTTCCTCCATGGTTGTATGGTGGTTAAATACCAATGATAGGAAGAAGGCCTTCACTGCGGAGTTGTTTATTAGGAAATGCCAACTGACTGGACGGGAAAGCAAAACTCTCATTGGCATCTTACTTACCAAACTGGATGTCCATCTTCTCCTGAACGCGTCCTCATGAACTTTCCTGGATATTCATTGACTCCAATCATTTATTGCTCAAATCCAAGCAAATGTTACAAAGCGACCCCACAAAGTCCTCAACAGATCTCCCCGTTTTCAAGTGACGCAAAGCGTAATTCCACAAACAACACATACTACTCGCATGCATCCCATCAGTAGTATCACCGTTACACATAACCCCTTAAAGGTCGTTCGCATGCCATCGATCTTCATTTACCTCCGTCATGTCGGCTTCGGCAGCGGGTCTACTCGGCCACTCTTCGGCTGTATCAAGCCACTTGCGAATTTACGTCCCATTTACTGTTTTCGATCCCCGACCATCTTGGTTTGTATAGACGTTCCTCCGGCGGTCGGTAACGAAAACCGGATCTTACCATCGACCGCCCAGCTTCCGCGACCCCAGTCCACTCCTTCCAAGATTCTGGTTATCCTTCGACTTGACCTTCGTGCCTTTCTACTTGCGTTTTATGCCTAGTCCAATCCTGAACGGCGGTCAAGTTTTCTCGAGCTCTCCTTTCTCCCTCAAGCTCCTTCGGAGACAATCGTGTTGCTGGCAACAACCCAGCTTCCTGATCAAACGGAAGGCGCGGATGTCGACCGTACATCAGCATGAACGGGGACTTGGCTGTCGTTGATTGTATGGAAGTACGATGAGGTAGCAACACTACTGGCAAGTTAACTTCCCAGTCACCTATTTGGCCGCCGGCCACTCCTTGATCGTTCGGTTATTACGTTCGGTTAGGCCATTTGTTTGCGGGTGGTATGGTGCCGTCCTTAGCCGTCTGATACCCAGCTTCTGGAAGCAATTCCTAAACTCTTCGCTCTCGAAGCAAGACCACTGATCGGTTAGGATCATTTCTGGCACCCCATGGTTGTCCACGATTTGATGCATGACCACTCCGCTGATCGTCGTCGCCCATTGATTAGGCACGGCTGCCGCCTCGATCCATCGCGAGAGATGTTCTGTCATCATCACGATGTATTGATTCCCATTGTTGTCAACAGAAAGCGGCTCATGACATCAATTGACCACAACTCACCGATTTCTGAGACAGGAATAGGTTCCATGGGATGGGTTAACCCTTTCGTATCCAGTAGGTCGTATGTCTTGGTGCACCCTGTATGTGCCATCTCATGGCATTCATGGATGAGGTTCCGTCTCAAGACGCGAGGTATCACGGGCAGAACAACATTTGAATCAGTGGCGTTCCAGGAAATTATGCCAGCTTCATTCAGCCTCAGCCGATCAAAGTGACTCTGGAACGCTTCTAATTCCTTGTCTCCCTCTCCGTTTTCAATGTTCCTTCCATCCAACAAGGCGGCTTCAACCTTTTGTAACACAGAATCCTGTCGTTGGATTTGCACCAACTTTCCGGGATGCAGTTCGACGACGAGGCTATTGGCTCCAATCATGATCCTAGGGACCTCATTTTCAGCCTGTGGTCTTGACAGCCAATCAGCCAAGTGGTTCTCCTTCCAGGGCACGTGCTGGACTGTGAAGTAGTACTCTTGCAACCGGAGTGCGAGCTCTCTGCGAAGATATCTGGTGGTTCTGATCCACCCCAGGGATTTGTGATCGGTTTCGACATGAAACCTTTGCCCAAGCAGGTGTGGCCTCCACTTATCCAGGGCTCAGCCGATCGCTAAACATTCTTTCCCAATGGTTGAGTACTTCCGTTCAGCGTATATTCGACGACTCCATTCCTCTGCTTTAGGACTGCGCCGATTCCGCGATGAATAGCGTCCGTTGCAACAGTGAACATCACTCCTACCCTGGGTAGTTTTGTTACCAGAACGGAACTGTTAATTGTCTAAAATTTCGTCTTAACTACGGACTGATCGTTTCTGGTCAATTCTCACATTCTGCTTATATTTGTCGTCACCACACGTTCAGCCACCAGATTGCATCATGCTGAGTCCCTATTGATTTATCCTCGTTCCGCTCTCACGTGTGACTCCTATTGGTCGTTGCATTTCGTTATTTTTCTGCCCGATCGTGCATAACTGTTGGTTCCTATTGGTTATTCGGTTGAAGAGAAAGTCTCAGCCAATTCATGCCATTTTTTCCGATGTTTGTAAACCGCCTTACTTCGTGGCGAAAAAAGACCTGTTTCCGTGCTCGACTTTGGCTTCTTCCTTACGCGAGTTGACGGGTTACCTCCGGACGATACAGCAAGTTTGAGGGTCAGTTGCTGATCCAACATCCGTGCTTTGATACGCTCGAATACCTCATGTGCTTCTCCGGTCCATTCGAATTTCCGATTTTGACCGAGCAAATCATACAGTGGCGCAGCGATCTTGTTGAAATCCTTAACAAACCGGCTGTAGTATGCTCATTGTCCAAGACACTGCCGTACAGACCGCTTTGAATTGGGAACAGCACAATCCTTGATCTTTGCCAATTTTGCAGGCAGTGGGCTTACTCTTCAGTGACCCAGTTTATGCCCCAGCAGTGTCACTCCCAGCGAGGCGAGCTGTGTCTTGGCTTCATTTATCCGCAGGCCAGCATCCCGAATCCGCTTCAATATAGCCTTCAAGTGAACTGCGTGCTCTGGTTCCGAATTGCTGTTCACAACGATATCGTCTCCGTACACGGAAACATTCCGGAGTCTCTTCGTTAAACGAAGCATCAAGCGCCGGAGTGCGAATGGAGCCCCAGACAAACCAAACGGCATTCGTCTAAAATGATATTGGGTGTCCCCAACCGTTTACGGTTGGGGTTCTCTGCCTTGATAGGTAGTCGCCAGTATCCGGAACGCTAGTCAAACACAGTCAAATATCGGGAATGCTGGGGAGAATCGAAAATTCCCGCAACAGAAGGTACAGCTACAACCCGATTTACGGTCGGTTCATTCAAGCGCCGGAAATTCATGCAAAACCTGTATTTCTATTCGCCTTTCTTACAAGCACAACTGGGGAATTGTACGCACTATTGGCCTCTTCGAGTATGCCATTCTTCAACATCTCCTGGATCTGTTTATGGACCTCCTCCCGTAGATGGAGCGGCAAAGGACGGGGACCATAAGGTCCAAAGCGTTCTGACGACAGAGGAATTTCGTGTTCAATCCAACCGCAGAAACCGAAAAGATCCTCCCGTGAACAGAACAGTTCGGAATATTCCTCGACCACGGACCGTATTGATGGTACATTACAAGACGGAAGTTTTTGGACACGCAGCGCACTCACGGCAGCGCCTGGGTAACCTTCAAGCTTGATTACGCCACACCTTGTCACCAGCCTTCCCTGCTTTAGGTCAATCACAGAATCTGTGCCCTTGAGAAAGTCCGCCCTTAATATTGTCTGTTCTATGTCTGGGCTAATCAGGAACGCGTGCTGCACAGACTTGTCGCCTAGGCGTATCGAGTGCATTGACAATCCGTCAACCTTCAGTCGATATCCACCGAGAGCTGTCACGGCTAGCGCGCACGGTCTGAGTTCAGCTTGGTTCCCTCTTTGCCTCAGCGATACGCCTGCTCCGGTATCAATCAAACATAACTCCCTTTTTCCGTTTACCTCGATAACGGCTTGTATGGTAGCTTGTGTCAGTGCGCTAATCGCGATCCACCCCGAAAAAGAGGAGTACTCTTAAGTTTTACTGTGTACAAGCGATCGGGTACGGGGACACTGGTTCTTCCAGTGACCAGATTTGCCACACATGTAGCACCGGCTGGTTCGAGCGTGCCTGTGCGATTCCTTCTTCACGGCTGCGAGTTGGTCCACTCTGGTGTGCAGTTCCTCCCTGTTCTCGTGTGACTGCAACGTGGCCAGTGGTGCCTCGGGCAGTTCCCGGGCCAGGCGCACCAGCCCCTCCACACTCAACTGGCCAATTGCTAGCGCCAAACGCAATTGGGCACCAAGCACCGGCTGCACACCTTCACCGAACTGGTCGGACAGGAAGTGGTGGCGTGACACTCCGCCCGGCCCCCGGCAAAGCGCGATCCAACGACTGCTGCGGGCCGGCGAAGAACACTGTCTGATCAGATCCAGGTGCCATCCTGGCCATCTTGAACCGCCTCATAGCCTCCTGGCGGTCGGCTGACGTGTCGAACTCCGCTGCAAGGACTTCATTCGCGGCGGCCCAGTCAATCTTCCGAGGGCCTCTTCTGGCCGCATCCAGGGTCACCTTCGCCGGGCCCCTGAGGAGGGTATTCAGCGCCTCCAAATTACCCCGGTCGGTCTCCAGTCCGGCAG